GTGGTGTTTTGCTTTGTTACGCTTTTGTTGAGTTTTTCTGTTGCTTCTTTTTTGAGGGGGGTGGGGTGGGGGTATTGGAGATCCTCAAATCAACTTTCACAACGACTTTTCCTGTCACCTTGTCCATATAGTGATAGTCCGCCTCCTCAAAGTAGTGGGCCTCTCTCGTCCTCTGGGGCTGCACTGCCCGGCCCGCCCATTTGGGATTCCCGATGACGTTACAGTGCAGTTGTGACGCCCAGTCCAGGTGGGGTTGTGATCTGGGTAACGGAGGTACGCCAGGGAGGTTGACGGAAAAGTGGGGCTGGAGGAACTGTTCACTCAGATCAGGCTTCATGAACAGAGTGAGACACACGAGCAGGCCGGTAGAGAGGGCTGCGACGACAACCAGTTTCTGGGGACATTTCCAAAAGGTTTTATATTATACAACCAGTTTCTGGGGACATTCCCAAAAGGTTTTATACATAACCAATTTTTTAGAACATTTCCTAGAGGTTTTATTTACAGCCAGTTTCTGGGGACGTTTCCATGAGGTTTTATATATGTAATATAACTTTTAAGCATTTTCTTTTCCTACAGGCCTATCCTTCATAAGCTTTGAGCGTTATTTTTTAAATTATAGTTGTTCTGTGCCTGTGTCTGGAAGCAAATAGTGCGCGCGCGCGCGCACGCGCGCGCGCGTGTGTGTGTGTGTGTGTGTGTGTGTGTGTGTGTATGTGTGTGTGTATTTGTGTTTGTGTGTGTGTGTGTGTATGTGTGTTTGTGTGTGTGTGTATGTGCACAAATATATATTGCATGAGAAGAAAGGAAGTAGTAGGAAAGGTTTTGAAAATGGGTATTCCAATGTAAAGCATATTTAGCTACTTTCTTGGAAATGTGCTGTATAAATGTTATATATTATTATTGTAATTTAATATGGGAGGAAGCGAGGAGAAATAAGGCTCTCGTTAAAAAAAAAATGAAAGTAAAGAAACGTACACTTTTTCGCTGGTTTAGCAATTTTTATCGAAAATGTACTTTTTAGCTCAGCACCTTCTATGTCCTTTTAAGAACTCATTTCAGTGTGCATTATATTAAAAAAAACTTTGATTAAAGACATAAACATGTAAGTTGTCAGTTTCCACGGACTCTGGGGCTTTGTAAATAACTAAACTCTGGCTGCTATTTTCCTCACTAGTTTTTCCTTAAGAACCAGGCGACCCCACCTCATTCAATTGCAGATATCTCGACAGGTACTCAAGATAAATGGGTAATTTTTTCATCAAAAGCAAGACAAATGTACAAACTTTAACTTTAAGGTGATGCCAATAACTCCTCTTGCCCAAAACTTGACGAGCGCTTGATTCCACCGGGTCGTGACACTATAAATAATGCTTTGGTTGCAGCAGTGACGTCACACATGTCAGACATGGAGCCTGATAATACCCTCATCGGCATGACCGGCGTGCACACATTAAAATTTATATGAACAATCTGAGCCTCCTATCCTGTTCCCCATGAACTGTAGTATATTAAACACCACTCAGACCCCATATTTCAGTGCAAGCTTGTAAGACCGCCGAGAAGCCTCCACGTTAGAGTCGAAAAGAACCCACCTATCACCTTGAGGTTCAGATTCCCAAGGTGGGCAAACGCAGCCCCTGTTGGTTTACGTGGGGGATATCACTGCCATGAACTCGAGTACTAAATATAACCTCTTTGGTTTTTGCTCACCTTTTGACATTTGACCTTTTTGTTTGTCTTTCTTT